TAGGGAAGGATGTAATTTCCACTTGTAGGAATTGTTTGTTTGATTGTGATGTCGACATTTCACTTCACTCATCAGTCGAGGTCTATGAACTATAATCCAATAAACTTGTTTAACATCATCGTCCGAATTTATTGGATATCAAAACACAACAGCTATGAGAGTGTGATTGTCTCCGAGTCATCCAAAGTTTAAAGAACGACCTCCTCTTTTACTCGTTGCATGGTGTTCTTAAAGATAACTTTTTTGGAAACATTCCAAAATCCTGTGAGGAGAAAATTAGAGGACATAAATATTTTATTTAAAATTTAATCATAGTCCAAGTATTCTCTCATGTGCCAACCAAATTTAATTTTTAATTAAAAAAAAAAACTGATGTCATACAAAGGTCAAATTGAAATCATTATTGTCATCCAATATATTTGTCCTTATATGGCATGGGCTTTATTCTTGGTCTAATTGGACAGATACTCATCACTATAATATATGCATATTCATGTATGTATTTGGTGTGCCTTAATTTTCCAATGGTCCCACCCATATATATTTGTTCATCATTATCATTATCATCATCATCATCATATCATCATAATATGATTTTTAAGCGCAAATGAAATAAGTGCATAAGCTAATATAGTGTAAATGATTGTTTGAACTTCTCTCTCTTGAACATAGTTCTTCTCGTGCGAGTATCAATATATCTTTATTAAATTTTTGATTTGAATATTTATCTAAAGGACAATGCTGAGTTGATTAGATAAAAAATTTCATTGCATCATACTAAGCCCTTGTTTGATCCTTATTATCTTAAAACTCACATGATGACGTGAAAGTGTTATAAATGTGAAAAATGATGTGAGATTGTCTCGGTGTGAATTCGATAGTTATGGTGTAAATCATGATGTACATGTAGTAAGATTGAACTAAGAGCTTGTTTAGGAATGATTAAAATTCAATTAAAATTGAAAATATAGTCGTTATTTGGTCCCACTCGTATAATAAAAGTAAACTCCAACGGCTATATTTTCAATTTAAATCTGATTTTAATCCCTCACAAACAAGCTCTAAATATGTCAACATTTTCATTCTGCTCTAAAGTGCATGAACATGCTATTAACTCGACTCGTGTTCAACTTGATTTAACTTCGTTCCATTGGCTTGTTACAAAATGGAGACAAATTAAACGTTATTTAAACTCCAAGGATCTTAGTAACTTATAATGAAACCCCAGTACTTACACTCATATCTTTCTTGGAGTGATCCCCTTTTCCTCTCTAACGAGTTTTTGTGGAGGGGAATGCACAAGAGAGACAGATAGATCCCCATTATATATATATGTGTGAGAGAGAGAGAGAGAGAGAGAGAGAGAGAGAGAGAGAGAGAGAGTATATTTCCATGATTTATATTGAGACTTGTCGAAAGCTTTGGGATCAAAGGCAAGATCTTAATCATGGCATAGAGGATAAGAGGAATCACAGTCATCTTCCTTTAGTGAGTGTGAAACAGCATATATACTCCTGAGAGAATCACAAAGAAAGATCATACAATTATTTTTATTCTTTCAAGAAGTAAAAATTTTCAGCTGAAAATTAGAACAGAGGGTTTGAGGTCTGAATTAGCAAGGGTTTATTCATCCTCTATTTCTTTTCAAGGCTGGTTTAAGATTCGACATTGAAAGTGTAAAGAAGAGAAGTCTTGGGATTTTCAAGTGTTTTAAACAATTAATAGTTAGGTTATGGAGTCTGCAAACGTACATCAGCTTGAAAATCATGTCGTTGAATCTTCTTCTTTAGCTATCCCTTCTTGCTATGGAGTTGGAAGCACCCCAAACACCATTCTGTAAGACTCTCTCTCTCTCTCTCTCTCTAGGCTAGGATCAATTGAATTTTTTTCTGCTAGAAATAACAAGGTTCAAGTAATCTTGAAAATTAGGGCATGTACTGATTATAAATATGCAGGAACTCAAATGGAGCTATTATAAATCCAAGGCAGGAGAGTGAAAATCTATGCACTTCAATTAATGTTTCAATGATTCCAGACTTGGGATTCCATTGGGCTAATGCTACTACAGATCAAAGGTTCACCGGTGAATCTGCTGAAAGGATCAAGAAACAATGCTTAAATAATACTTACCCTAATAGATATACTGAAATCTTGAACAGCCCACAATTAAGAGAGATGCCGTTGAATGATCTCAATGCAAAACTCTTGCTTAGAACTTCTTTTTCTGGGAATCTAACCAGTGGGATTCAACTTACTTCAGGAGAGCTATTAGCAAACTCTCCAACTACTGGAAGTGGAAGTGGAAGGGGCTTCAATCGGATATTACCTAGTGTAAATGTTTCGAATTTGAATCTATCTGCATCTTTAGCGAATTCAAGCTCTTCGGATATGAACTTGGAGGCACTGGACGTTCTTACATCTTCAAGATTTACTGGGAAGTTTAGCCCGTCTTCGCAAAATGAACAAGGCCTATTTAAAGATGATCTTTCTTATTATGGCTTTGATTATACGAAGCGATCAAACAAAACGCCATTTCATAGCATAAATAAGGTAAGTTCATGCACCTTGTTTCTTTTCTTTCATCTTCTTCTACAACCTCCTGTCTAAAGTTAGAAATAATTTTTTCTTTCACTGATATATTTCTCAAAAGGGCTTTTTTTGCAGAAAATAGGCAGTTCTGATATTATATCATCTTAATTTCATGTGGTGAGATAGCTTATGCATGTTGATGTACTTCATCTAGAGAGGACACACATTCTATTTTTTAAGTCTAATTTTCAACACTTGTCTCACATGCAAGCATGATTCCTTTTTAATCAAAACTCAACACAATTTTCACAAAAAGATGGCAGCAAGACATGATCGGACATCTGCATATTACGTTAAATCATTTCATCTAAGAGTTTAAACTAAGAACATAATGCATTTATCTAAACGTAGATCTCAGTGACTACAACCGTATTCTCAGAGCTGTAAAACATATGCACTCAAACTACCCCTTTCTGCATGTGATTTATACAAAGTTTTAGCAAGCTATTTTCATTGATATATATAGATCCACTGATCTAGTTTTCTATGGAGATGAAAATCTTGTACATTATTTTTAATTTTTTCTTTTATTTCGGAAAACACTTTCTTTTCCTCTTGTCGAATATATTTCCACTAAAAGTGAATTCTTCTTTTATCTCTGCATAAAAGCTACTTCACCCCTTGCACCTTTTAGATTTTGACATGATTGATATCATTATTCAGCTAAACTTTAGTCTTTGAATTTGAAGGTATCAGCCTTGAGCAATGGAGCAGCACTAGGAAAAAGCACCATCACTATAAAGGAGGGAAAGGAAGTTGAAACAGCAAAACCTCGATTAGATTCACGCGCCGCCTGCTCACCACCCTTTAAAGTATGTTGTATAGATGAAATCAAGAATTGTGCATTAACCCATCAGACAAAGCTTAATAATTTTTCAACGAGTTTCTAAATTTTCAGGTCAGAAAAGAGAAATTGGGTGATAGAATTTCAGCCCTTCAACAGTTAGTAGCTCCCTTTGGCAAGGTACGTAAGCATCTTTCCAAACCAGAAACATGTGCATAATCAGTTCATCATTTCCTGCCTGACTCTTGTCTTTACCCATATATTTGACACATACGGAATCTTTGGTAAAGTAAACTCAACAACCTTATTTGATCATACTTTATCAAAAGAGAAAAAGCATCTAAATATTATCCATGATAATGTCGAGTAATTGGTTACATATATAAAAACATAACACTTAACATCATAGTGCCTCATAGTCGTATACAATATTGAACAGCACGAGTTGCAGAAGTATAATTAACAACCTTCCTATATTACCAGACATATTTGCCATCTTTCTTGACGGAATACCATTATGTCAATGGCAAGTTTTTTTAAAAAAAGATAATTTTTGCATCAATCACTTGTTGCCACACCTTCATCAGTCATCCAGAATGTCAAATTGATCAGACAAAGTGGCATTATTCTTATGATTTCATGAGTTCGTACGTGCTACTCTTAAAGGCTTTTTCCCTTGATAATGTATAAGTTTTTGGTTTCTTTTAAGCTAATTAATTCAAATATTGAAAATTTGGGGCGAGAATATTTGCAGACGGACACAGCATCCGTACTAATGGAGGCCATTGGGTATATAAAATTCCTTCAAACTCAAGTTGAGGTACTCTTCTCTTTAACCTAAACATTCTTCTTGCTTTTTGGATATTTCAACTTCTATTCATTAATTCGACAAGCCTTTCAATTTTTTTTATTTTTTCTCAGACTCTAAGTGTCCCTTACATGGAGTCAACACGGAACAAGATCAATAGAGAAATTGAAGAGGTAAGAAAGTGATATATTAACTCTTTTCTTTTTTCGTAACTCAACATTAGTGACGAAATCCATCATCAGGGACTTGCTGCAGAAAGTGAAAATGAAGATTCAAAGGGAGACCTTACGAGGCGAGGTCTATGTTTGGTACCCGTGTCGTGGTTAACATACGTAACTGATGGTGGCCGCGGAGCTGTTTGGCCGCCACCTCACTATGGTGGCGCCACCTAGAATTTTGAATTCGTAAAACCTAGCCATGTGATGTAAAAGAGCTTAAGTACTTTATTTGTATCATGCCTTGAAGAAGCAAACTTGGTCATCCTAGGGAAACAGAAAGCTTCAGGCATGGACCAAGTTCGTGTACCAACTTAATTTCAATTAGTTGTAAAGTAATTTTAATCAAGTTGTACAACTCTTGTTAATTTATTTTTCAGACAAAAACTAAAACACGTTTTTGTTTGTAAAAAAATTTAAACATGTTTATCCATGAGAAGTCGTGGTTGACAGTTGACACTTGAAATTTGAAAAGGTACGAATTTAACTGGTTTCGTAACATATTATTTTATTGACAGGATTTATTACTAACTATTTGACTAGTTGCTCAAAATTTTCAATTATTTTCCTCCTCGTGGTTACCACTTGAAAAAAAGAGACTAACTTGAATAATATATTCAATAATTAAACATGCCTAAATATGAATCTTAATTATGTTATACCTATGTCCTAAGTAGCAGAACGTGGGACGACAAGGAATCCCGCAAGTCTTCTAAGTAGAAAGCATATACGTCTACACCATGAAGCCAAGGAGTTTGCCAGATGGGAACCTTGCCAGGCAATTGATCGAATGTTAACCAAAGTTTATGTAAAGGACGAGCCACACACCAGCCAAGGGACCATTACCCGCACCTGTCCAGCTAGCTCACGGCTCATGGATGAGGTGAACTTTATGATGTTTGGATAGTTGTTTATATTGAACATGTTAATATATGTGTAAACATTTTAATTGTAGGTAAATCCCCAAGTTGGATGCGTTTGAATGTAATTGACAAAAAAAAAATGTGAAAATGGAGATAAATTAGAGTTGATTCGATGCAATTGATGATCAATTGGAAGACTTATGGGAGCAATCAGAAGTGATTAACAAGTTTTGAGAGCTAAATTCGATGTTTGGAAAGTTTGAACACTCTTGGAACTTGTAATCGGATCAATTTTGAATGATTGAGAAATGTTACGGACCAATTTACAATGAATTAAAGCTAAAGGACTAAGATTCGAAGAACAAATGATGCAGATTGAGCAGAAGATGAAATCAGGGGACCAAATTGATATAGATTAAAAATGGAGGACTTCCATTTTTCAATCAAATACTTTATCAAAACCTTATAGGGCACGGATTTGACCTAGATCTTGTCCTGTATATTCAACCAAAACAGATAATTAGAGAGGAAGTTTAGAGGCTCCAATATACATATTTTGCACAATTAAGAGAGCCAATTGAAGATCAAATCATTATTTTTCTTCGAAAGCTTTGAAGAAGCTTTTGATAAAAGACATATACATATCTCGTACATCAATTGCTTTGAATTTTTGAAGAAGAAGAAGATCAAAGGAGAGAAAATCAAGAACCATTGATGCAATTCAAGATTCGAGACTATTTTCCATCTTTCTTTTCAAATCCTAATTTTCGGGTAATGTTGTCTTTATTATTCTTGTAATATTGTGATGTTTGGATAGTTATTTAGATGTTAGGATAATGTTGAACTCTATATTTTGATATTTTAATATTCATTATATAATTTTGACATTAAGACAACTATATGGTGTTGAATATTTGTTATGCTCTTAATGTTTTTAATTAATTAGCCACTAAATGAATTGATACATGATTCATATTAACGTTCAGAAGAAGGAATAGGGAAGATAGCATGTGATAATATTCATTATAACTTTTAAGGTTAAATACACATTATGAATGATATTTAACTCTTGCATGATTCGATGTTCTTGTGCTTTTAATGTATTGCTTCACATATGAATTCGATATAGGAATATTACTGGGTCGTGCTTAAGAATATGTTTGATTGATCTCGGGAGGGACTATTGATTATGACAGGAACATTAATCTTCATATCAGATAATTATTGTCAAATTGTGGAATTAATATCAAGGTGGATGAATGTAGGGAAATACGAGATCCTAGTGCTTTATTAACTAATCAAGTAATCATACACACTTCCCACCACGTAGTTGGATTACATATATATTTAGGTTGTTAATATCACTACGGTACTTCACCTATCTATTTGTAATTTTACATCCGGTCGAAGTTGGATTTAATGGAGAACTCGATTAAATACTTATTCCTCATGAGATCGGTACTTAGACTCAACATCAACTTTACTACTTATTCCCGATTTGTACACTTACGAGATAAAAATCGGTAATACTTCTTTCTTAATCAACATAATTACATTCAAGATCTTCTCTCCCGCACCAGCCACCGATCCGACACATGTTGATGGCATGAAAGACAAATATTTTATTAATTTTCTTTCATGTTCATTTAAATTACTTGAAGAGAGGGAAGAAGAAAAAAAATTATTCACGACAAAATACAATAATATTGTATAGGTAAATTTGGCCAAACAATCGGGTTTGACAATGAATTTGAAGAAATGACATTTGACCAATATTAAAGAAAAGCAAAAAAACTCAAAATATTTTAAACGGAAAAATGACAAAATTGACCTATATTTAATAGCAAAATATCACCTCATTTCCCTCATTTTCACCTTGTTTTTTCTTCCTCGATCACTGTAAAAACCTTATACTCCCAAATTGATCTTCCACTGTAAAACGCAATACTCTCACTATGAATCTAAGGTCTTCTTCCCAACTGTGTTCTAATGTCGTTTTTTATACATGGATGCATGTGAATTTTTTCTTCTTTTTTCCTATTAGATTATTGTTAAGAATGTCATATAACACATTTTCCCTTTTTTCAAAGGTAAAAATGATTCCATTCTTTATAGTCAATTTACTGTTTGATTACTCTTATTTTTGGACCCAATTGCTGTTTTGATGGGAGGATCAATTTTTACTTTTAAGTCATGGTTCTACTGGTTTTGCAGAAGGAATAATCTCATCTATTAAGCCTCATTCCCATCTATGGAGTTTTAAATATCTTTGGAACTCCGCTAATTATAATTTTAATTGTTATGAATGAGATGTTCAGCGTGTGGTATTAAGTATTGATCTATTGTTGATGTATGTGAACTAGAACAAGACGAAGTTTTTCCTTTCATTTTTTTTTTCCTTTTGATGTGCATCTTTACAATGTTAATGCCTTTAAGTTAAGTGCTAACCTTTCAATTGTACATTTTTTAGTTGTATTGTTGTTATCTAATGAGAACAACAAAAGTGTTGATGCCTTTTCAAGTTAAATGTTTGTCTTTCAGTTGTACATTTCTTTTTAGTTTGTTGCTGCTTGTACATTTTCTTTTCAGTTTGTTGGTATCCCATGATAATGGCACGGGTAACGTTAATGAAAATATAAGTATTCATGAGAACGAAACAAGTGTCATTACTAAGAAGAAAACGGCTGCGTCGTTCTGTTTGTAAACACGATTATAAGTGGTGAAGCCCTATCCGTACCCCGAGAACTAATAAGTTGAACTCATTTAAATTGTAAGATGGACATGTCATTAAAAAGTTAAGAGATATGCTCATTACTTATAGGACATTGCATTGGAATTAAATCAAAATATAGGATAAATCGGCGGAACGACACAAGTGCCGTTATTGAAAAAAAAGGGCTCATGTGTCGTTATGTTTGTAAACACGATCATATATTTTATGTCATTTTAACCGTTCTTTGTCACGTGATCAACTTTTATGTGTTACGTATTTTAGGGGATCCAATGTTTGAGGACGTTACGTTGGAAACGAGTTTAAAATATATGAGAAATTAACATATTGACACGAGTGCTGTTACTGAGAAGAAAATAATACAAATGTCGTTCTGTTTGTAAACACGATTATAAGCGACGAAATCCCATTCGTGCCTTGAAAATCAATAAGTTGAACTCATTTAAGTTGTAAGATAGACATATCATTTACAAAATTTGAGATATATGCTCATTGTCTATATTCTAATGAATCAGTAGGATGACTTGTGCTTTCAACAACTCAATATCATATAATCTATGTGATTTTAACCGTTCTTTGACACATGATCAACATTTTTGTCTTACGTACGTTATGGTGTGTAATGCTTGAGGGCGTTATATTGGAAACAAATCAAATATGGGAGAAATCAACAAAACGTCACAAGTGCCGTTAATGAAAAGAAATCGGTCCATGTGTTCTGTTTGTAAACACGAGTATAAACCGCTACAGCTTATTCTTGCCCCGAAAACTAATAGTGGAACTCATTTACATTGTAAGATGGACATGATACGTGCAAAAATAAAGAAATATGCTCATTATTTAATCGACATGAATCAGTAGGATGACTTGTACTTTAACCAATTTGATAAGATATAATTTATGTCATTTGGATCATTCTTTGTCACATGGTTAACCTTTGTGTCTTACATATGTTAGGAGGTCCATTGTTGGACGTCGTTGCATTGAAAAAAAAAATTCAAAATATAGGAGAAATTAACAAAATGGCACAAGCATTATGTTTGTAAACACGATCATATATTTTATGTCATTTTAACCGTTCTTTGTCACATGATCAACTTTTCTGCCTTACGTATTTTAGGGGATCCAATGTTTGAGGATGTTACGTTGAAAACGAGTTTAAAACATATGAGAAATTAACATAATGACACAAGTGCTGTTACTGAAAAAAAAATAATACAAGTGTCGTTCTGTTTGTAAACACGATTATAAGCGACGAAACCCCATTCGTGCCTTGAAAATCAATAAGTGAACTCATTCAAGTTGTAAGATGGACATGTCATTTACAAAATTTGAGAGATATGCTCATTGCCAATATTCTAATGAATCAGTAGGATGACTTGTGCTTTCAACAACTCAATATCATTTAATCTATGTGATTTTAACCGTTCTTTGTCACATGATCAACATTTCTGTCTTACGTACGTTATGGTGTGTAATGCTTGAGGGCGTTATATTGAAAACAAATCAAATATAGAAGAAATCAACAGAACGACACAAGTGCCGTTAATGAAAAGAAAACGATCCATGTGTTCTGTTTGTAAACACGAGTATAAACTGCTACGGCTTATTCTTGCCCCGAAAACTAATAATGGAACTCATTTACATTGTAAGATGGACATGATACGTGCAAAAATAGAGAGATATGCTCATTGTTTAATCGACATGAATCGGTAGGATGACTTGTACTTTAACCAATTTGATAAGATACAATTTATGTCATTTGGATCATTCTTTGTCACATGGTTAACCTTTGTGTCTTACATATGTTAGGAGGTCCATTGTTGGACGTCGTCGCATTGAAAAAAAATTCAAAATATAGGAGAAATTAACAAAATGGCACAAGCGTCTAACGAATATGAAAATGACACTTGTATTGTTATGTGTGTAAATACGAGTATAAGTAGCCACGTCTCATTCGTACCTTGAGAAATAATAAGTAAAACTTATATACGTTGTAATATGTACATAACATGTACAAAAGTTGAGAGATATGCTCATCAACTTAATCAACACATATGACTAGAATGATTTGTGCTTTCACCATCTCAATAACATAAAAGATATGTCATTTCAATCGTTTTTTATGGCATGGTCAACCTTTCTATGTCACATCACGTTAGGGAGTTCATTATTAGAAATTATTTCGTTGAAAAAAAATATCAGTGAAAACTTTGGAATGACGCAAGTGTCGTTACTGGACATCAAAATAATACTTGTGTTGTTACATCTATAAATACAAAAATAAAGTCACGACCCATTCGTGTGCTAAGAAATAATAAGTGGAACTTATTTACGTTGTAATATGCACATGACAGTATAAAAGTTGAGAGATATGTTCATTAACTTAATCTCAGTAGTTGAAGATAAGAAACGGATAATTGTGATTTGAGAACCAAAAGTTGAATTGGGAAATTAATTGGGTTGATAAGGGTGTTAGGGTCTTTTCTCATGGTGAAGGCATTAATGACAATTGATATTGTTTATTTATTGTATTTTATAATTGGAGGTCATTTGATTTGACCAAGAAACATTGAGAGAACATTAATTTACTAAGGCTATATTTGATATGCCAAATTTTCCTTGGAAGTTGGAAAATAAATTCCTTTTCCTTGCATTTGAGTTGTTTGATTAGCCACATTTTCCCTCCCATTTGTTTTCCTTGTAGGCTGTAGCTGCCTCACGTGTTGGAATTCCTTGAATTGTGGTGGGAAAATGAATTCCATGTGGCTGCTGTGTCTTTTTTTTTTCCTTTCTTTTTTTAGCAATGGAAACAAATTTCATAATTAAGTGTAAAAAAAATTTCACTTTCATTGACAATTGTGATGCAAACGAAGGCCAAACAAACACTGAATCTTAATTAAAAAAATGATTTTTTAGAAAACTTTTTTTTTTCATTTTTTTTTTAATTTTTGGCAATGAAAACAAATTTTATAACCAAGTGTGGGAAAAATTATCACTTTAATGGACAATTTTCATGTAAAACAAAGCCAAACGAACACAAAATTTTAAAATTCTTCAGGTGAAAAATTATACTAATCAAACACACTTAATTAACAATTCCTTGAAAAATAATTTTTAGGCAATTACTTTTCCTGAAATTCATTTTCTTTCCA